TATTTACACACATACCACTTAAAACTATTTCTCATTTCTAAAAAACCACTCCGTAACCACTCCGTGAAATCCCGCTGGCTTCACTTTGCAAGGCCCTCCACGCCGGAGTTTCGGCGATTGGGCCTCCACCGCCGACGACGGCCTGTCCGGTTTCCATTCCAGCTGTGCACGGTTTCGCTTTCTTCCACAGTTTCGTTAATTTCGAGTCCTGATTGCATCGCGTTAATGGCGGCAAGAACGGCATGTAGGTCTGCCGATTCCCTGCGATGAAATTCAAATTAGAAATTTGAAGAAACAGTGAAATTTTTACGTCATAAGAAACAAATTCACTCACCGCATGAAGCTACGAAGGAGGTACACTCCTTAAAGATCGATTCAAGCCCCTCGACCAAATCGTGCACCATTTCATCTCTCACAGTCATCGGAATCTGAACGGCATGTAGGTCTGTCACTTTCGCCAGTTTTATCAGATCCACCGCCGACAGTATGAATGGCTCGCTCTTCGATTTCAAAGGTCTGTTGGTGCAAGCCGGGTTGAATTCTATATTCAAAGGTCTCTGCGCAATGCCTTTATGAAGGTGTTAGAGACAGGGCATGATCATGTCGATAGCATGATCGTGGAGGTGGACGAGGATCCCATCGATATCTTGATCGAGTTGGTGAAAGACACAGAGGCACTCGCAGCAACGTAGAGAGAGAAGTTCAGTCCGGTTCTGCGACAATGGTGTCCGGCGTCCACCGGAATAGCGTTGGTAACGTTGCATAATTGCTTCGGACAGGCCGTCGTCGGCGGTGGAGGCTCGATCGCCGGAACTCCGGCGTGGAGGGCCTTGAGAAGTGAAGCCAGCAGGATTTCACGGAGAGAGGGACGGAGTGGTTTTTTAGAAATGAGAAATAGTTTTAAATGGTATGTGTGTAAATAGAAAACTTTAGGTGTTAAATGAGTAAATAACATAGTTTTAAGTGTTATGTATGTAAAAATCCCTATATATTATAGTAAAATTTTTAGTATTCAATATTTATAATTGTTATTGCATACTACTATTGCTTTTTCCAATAACATTTACTCATATAGTAATTAAGTGTAAAGTTAGAATAATTAGTGGAGTCAAAACTTAACACAATAGCATAATTTATGGTGATTATATTTTGCAAATATTAAAATTATGGTTTAGTTCATACTTAGAATAAAATTAATATTGATATGTGTATGAATTTGTCTTAACTTACTTAAATGTTCAAAATAATAATAATATTGAAATTATTTTAATTAATTATTATATATGTGCTATACAGTCATTATGATAAAATTAATTATATTTATTTTATAGGATTTGTTTCATGTAAAAAGTAAGTGGTAGAACTACAAAATTTTCTTAGGAATGGCACATAAACTAATTTTATTATTACAGAAAGCATAAATTAAATTTTTATTATTAAAATTATCAAATAAGTGGTCTTATTATATATCTGTCCTATATAATAGCCCCATCATTCCCCACTTTGATATTTAATTTCCTTTTTCAAATGAGAATATTATTAATTTATAATTTTAACTTTGTGGCTAATTTTGCAGAAATTTCTAATAAAATAAGTAGCCTAATTTCATTCATTAAGATTAACTCAAATATTTTGTTGATTGTCAAAGTAAACAAATGCAAAACAGTATGATAGTATAACAATAATTTTCAATCAATGTAAATTTCTATTTAAAATGATATAGGCTTCGTTTGGGATTATTTTCTTACTGTTTATAAAATTATTAATAAAATAATTTTTGAGTTCTTATAAAAATTAACTTTTAGTCAGAGCCCTGCATTGGGTACCCATACATGTACCCACCCATGTACCCACCCATACCCAATGGGTATGGGTGGGTATGGGTACGCCCATGACCTTGTGGGTGTGTACTCAAAATCGGGGGATAAATCAATATGCATTGCTAATCACCGTATATCTTATATTACTTCAATCCTCACTACGTAGTATGTAGCACTTAACCACGCTGCGACTACGATAAATTCTGATATGCAGCTTGAAAGTTTACAATCAGAGCAAATGACAAAAAGCCTCAAGGCCATCAGTCCATGGTAGACTGCGTTAAAAAAAAAATAAGAAAAGGGGTGGGTATAGGTGGGTACGACATCGCAAAAGTTATCATGGGTGGGCATGGGTGGGCGAAGCCCGTCCGAATAAAGCATGGGTACCCAATGGGTACCCTACTAAGACCCCATGTAGGGCTTTGCTTTTAGTACAAAATTTATTTGAAGCCACAGAAAAAATAGTAGCCAAATAAAAATTATGATTATAAACTAAATAGCAAATCAAGAAAAATTTATCCCAGCGAAGCTTTTGGGTTCGTTTGGGACAACTGCAACTTTTTATGAAGATGATTATAAAAATACTACATAAAAAACATCTTTTTTGAAAACTATTGTAGAAAAAATAACTTCATAATATCAAATTTTATTGAAAGCAATGAAATAGAAGTTGTCAAACCAAAACTCTAATTACAATATGAAAAACAAAATAACCAGAAAGATGCTCTAAACGTACCTTTAAGATACGATTGGAACAGCTACAACTATTTATAACTATGATTATAAATTGCCATAAAAAATAATTTTTTGAAAGCTACTATAAATAATAGATTCCTTAATAAAAAACTTACTAAAATCAATAAAAAAATAATAAAATAAAAATCATTATTACAATTTGAAAAATAAAACAAACAAAACAGTAAAAAAAATATCCCAAACAAAACCTTGAGCTTCATTTAGATGATTTTTTAGTACTTTTTCAAATAATTTTTTTAAACTAAAAAATATATATATTAAAAAATAACTTTAAAAAGTAATAATAAGACTAACCCATCAACCCTAGTGAAAAAATATATTATATAGACATGAATAGGATATTAGTTTCATATAAATTTTTAAATAGTAGCCAAATTGCATCTACATGCATTAGCCAAAAAGTTTTTGCTAGGCAAATACGTATTAGTGAATTAGAACAAAAATTAGCCTCTAATTAAATCATATGATGATATTAAGCATTATACCCATCTCATATAGAAAAAGAATCCGAAAATCTTATACTTAAGGTACCATCTTGATTTTCGAAGGATGAATTTTCATGAGGGATCAAAATTGGTTTATCTAAAAATGAACTTAAATTCCATTCTAAACCAGCATATATTTCTGGACTAATTTTTTTACCAGAAATGACCTTAATTCCTTCGCTAGTTAACATAGACTCTAAAGTTTCATTATTTAGTTTAAATTTAACATTAGAATGTTCTTGCATTTTTCCTATAAATCCTGTAGTTATATAAAGATTTTATAGTTTTTCCTAAATCTTTTATATATAGACGAGCATAATTTAAAAGACCTAAATTTTTTTTGTAATTCTTTAGTGTCTTCTATTTTCTTTTTCTTTTTTGATAATATAATACCATTATTAATACAAAGTTTTAAAACTTCTTTAATGTGTTTATAATGTTCTTTTAAAATATGCGATGTTATTAAAATATCATCTATATATACCATAACATAATTTAAATGGCCAAATATATTATCCATTTTTCGCTGAAATATACTTGGAGCATTTTTTAATCCAAATGGCATGATTTCCCATTCATAATGTCCTATTGGAGTAGTAAATGCTGTCCTAGGATAGAGTTTTCCAACCCTATAATGAATGCATTTATGGCTACAAATTATTCTTTTTCTATATAAAAGATTTAGGAAAAACTATAAAATCTTTATATAAAAAGACTAATAAAACTGGACAAAAGTATTTCAATACTGAAGATATTAAGATAATACAAAAAATAAAAACACAAATTAAAACCTTACCAAAATTAATTCTACTTTTAGAAACAGACTATAAAATAGTATGAACTAATTCACTATTTATATCAATATAATATAATTTAATTAAACATGCCTCTTTATCATAATTTGCACCTAGGAGATAAAGTTTTCCAATCCTATAATGAATGCATTTATGGCTACAAATTATTCTTTTTCTATATGAGATGGGTATAATGCTTAATATCATCATATGATTTAATTAGAGGCTAATATTTGTTCTAATTCACTAATACGTATTTGCCTAGTAAAAACTTTTTAGCTAATGCATGTAGATGCAATTTGGCTACTGTTTAAAAATTTATATGAAACTAATATCTTATTCATGCCTATATAATATATTTTTTCACTATTGGAATATTTGCATAAAACTAATGTTCTATTTAGACTAAGATATCAAGATGTTTGAAGAATTATTTCTCCCAATCGGGTAAGATTTGCTTTAAATTTTTTTTTTGATGTCTCATTCTCCTAATTAAAAGTTAAGGGAAAATCTAATAATTTTATTTATGATATAAAAATTCTCTGTAACAGGTGCAAGAATAATTCGACATACACCGACTATACAAATATCATGCAAAGATTCAGGAGTATTTTCCACCAGCCCAAAGACAGCATAAATGACTTCATTTAAGACACTTTCTTGCTGCTTAAAATTGCTTTCCCTCCCAAACAAACTTGAGACTTCTTCATTTGGGACAAGTTTTTTATTGTTTTTTTAAATAACTTTTTAATACAAAATCTCTTATTTTAAAAATATTTCGTATTAAAAAATTACTTTAAAAAACAATTACAAAACCGTCCCAAAGAAGCCCTAGTCCTAAACTTTCAACGCTCAGCTTATAGGGATGATTCCTCCGCCGCAGCAGCAAAGCCAGCAACAGTGCACGAAACTTGCAAAGAACAAATGTTTTCAATAAACTAAATTGACGTTGCGCATTTCAGTATAAGGTCCTATCATCATTTACATTTCAATAAAATATTACTGTAACAGAAGACAGTAAATCACTAAATCACATACATTCGCTCTAACTGTGCCACTCTATAATAAAACAACAAACATGTGGCCATGTTTCCTAGTATTCATGCAGAAACTGCCACCAAATGACACAAAATTAGGCAGCAAAATTGATTTAAGAGCCATAATTAATTGAAACTAACTCAAATTAGGATTTGAGATCGAGTAGTACAACACAATTAAGCAATACATATTTAAACTAAGAGCAACAAATCCTCATATTAAAATCAAGACTACTACACCACTACAGAATGCTCTCTCTATCTCTCTAGTAAGTTGCACACAACACAGCAAACAAGTAAGAAACCTACAAATGGAGAATGTTAAAAAGTGTTAAGATAACGGTAGAGGCGGCCATCTTTCATTTCCATAAGAAGCTCGAGAAGCTCTGCTGGTTGCTGTTGTTGCAGGTGCCTGTGCTTTGGTTGAGCGGGCTTGCAGGCCCTCCAGATGACTCGCTAGGAGTTCCTCGAGATGGTGGACTGCTACCGCCGGTTATCACGCCACCACCGCCAGGAATGCCACCGCCAGGAGCTAGCTTTTCCATGGCCGATGCACCGTCTAACAGATTAACATTCTTTCGTTCTTTCTTTCCTTCAGCGATAAAACTTGCCACTACAACCTGAAATGCGTCCAAAATCTTCAGATATTCTGCAAGTTCTCAAATACAGAAACTGGCTAATGGTTCCAAAGAATTATACTAGAAAACAGTACTGTATGGTAGTGGTGACCAACATATGGAAACCAAAAATGGCCAAAAATATATACTGACCTGAACAGGAGATGCTGCTGTCAGAAGTCCAGCAACTCCGCCACCAAGAACTCTACCATCAGGACCAGCCAAAGAAACACTCAGACCACCAGTTCGACTGCGCTGGCCGCCACTCTCCGATAGCAGAAATGAACCAGACAGTGACAATATTTCAAACCGACCCTAAATACAAAGGGTAAAGGAGTTCACAATGAAGTATACAGTATAACCAAGAAACTATGGTTCTGTTACCATAAATAGAGAGGATGAAGGGATTTTTGCCATGAACTTCAAACGATTTACTTGTTTGAATAAAAAAGAGCTAATAAGAGAATCAACAAACATAGAAAGTTTTCCTTTTCACCTCATAAGTTACTGTTCCACCGGAAGTTGCAGCTTGTCTAAGAGTCACATTAGAGATTGCCCCATTTGCTGAAAGAATGCAAATAGCACGTGGTCCATGCTGAGAAAATGACATGATCTTTGCGGACACATCCTGAGAACAAAAGTACAGAATCACAACTTATAACTGTCTCAATGTTATCAAGATATATTTCCAATCTAGTAAGTGCATTTAAAAGTTCATGAAGTTTATCCAATCACAAAAACAAATAATTGAAATTTAACATTAGAAAACTTCTTCCGACTAGCAAACGAACAATAAACAACATGATTGGCGAAAAGAATTTGCAGAAATGTGGTGTGACTGTCTAAGGTTTTGTTTGGGACGGCTTTCTTACTGCATCTTGAAGCAATTTTTTAGTATAAAATTTTAAATTTTTGTATTAGAAAGCTGTTTTAAGAGGCAGTAAAAAAGTTGTCCCGAACGAAGCCTAACTTGAATTTGGAATTAGAAGAAACTAAAGTTTCCACTATAAAAAATTTTATAACATTTTCAAGAACTAACATACAAGTACTTTTATTTGCACTAAATATCAGCCAAATCTTCAAAAGCATCACAAAAATACCAACCTTCTTTCCCAATAATATATAATTTGGTTATATAACTCACAAATATATATGAATTTGTTAGCTAACTTTAAATGCTTACTTGTCGATTTTGTAAATTTTAAAAAATCTGAGGCACAAATAAATCTTCCAATATTTTTTTTACTTCAAAGGTCATAGGCTAAGCAACTTGCGACACCAAACCATGACAAGAAGATAATTCATCCTATACCAAAAGTTGGTTATAGACAAATAAACAATACTAACATGGCAAGGGGAGCAAAAGAAGAAGATGGTATCCTAGTCAATTCTAATAAAGATAGAAAAATGAAATTTGTAAAAGAAATATAAAAGACAAGCAAAAGAAGATTCTCATCTTTTAAGAACAAAAATCACAATAATAATTATAACGCACAAACAAACAATAACTCTGGCTATTAATAACACTGATAATCTACAAACTTTACATGGGAATATCTTAATGGACATTATCAAAAAAATAACCCAAATATTTGGGATAACGCTAAATATGATGATATCCAAAAAAATATTAATTAATGCATATGTGATGCTACCAACAATGCAAGAGTGCTATTTCAAAGGATGATTTAAAATCATCAAATAGCATATAAATTAAACATTATACTTAAGAATAAAACAATAATATATGAATATGATAGCAGTCAGGAAGTGATAGAAAACATAAAAGACTACCACTGGTACAAACATGCCTATTTAATGTTAAGAGATGAGCACAAATAAAAAATAAATAAAATAAAAGAGAAGGTTATATTATATTATTAAATACTATGGAATCCTAATAAATATTAGCATATTAGATAATATCATATGAACAAGGAGTTGTTTAACAGCTTTCCGGAATTGTTAATCTAAGCTATTGAACATTGAACAATGACATGTGATGAGATAATGAGATAGAGCCTTTCACCAAAGTGTGGAAGAGCAACGACTGTGATAGATTTGGAACTGAGATGAGTAAGGGTTTACCTGAGTGGGCTTTGACCTCACAATTGCCAAGGAAAGGCACAGAGACAGATGCTGAAGAGACATAAAAAGGTGAATAATGAGTCATTGAGATTAGTGGGGTAAAGGATTATGGCGGTGAACTGGAGAGAGGTGAGATTGTGTAAGTAGTCGCTGAAGATGCCCCACTGCTGCATACGATTATATACAAGGAGCACGTCGAATTGGCTGACGAAGAAGAAACAACCGTCAAGGATGAAGATGACGCCACAGAGTTGGTGCTAAATCATAGCAAGTTTGGAACCAAAGAGGGGGGGGGGGTGACATTCTTCTTGTCGAAGGAGGCAATGGAGAAGTATTTAGAAAGCAAAAGAGGGGCTATGGTTGATTGTCAATTGAACCACCTCGATGAGAAGCAAATTCAAAATCATTAAGTTCCAAAACTTCAATCAAAGAAAAAATAGGTCTCGTATAGCCGCTAGTGCGAAAGAGACAATGAGCTAAACATCACTGGAGTTGAGAAGGGAGTGAGCGCGATGGGGTCAAATTCAGCATGTGAGCAAGATCCTCACAAGATCTTCACCAAATCTCCAAGGGCTATTTGAAACATAGAGAAGAGGAATAATAATGGTTTATTAAGCAAAGGAAAGACGATGCTTACGGGATCGTCACGAGATCTTTCATGGGATCCTCACATATCTTTCAGATAAAAGAAAGACAGATTTAGAATATGCTCGAATGCCATTACAAAAAATATAAAAGATTACATCTTTATTTGAATAATTCTACTGCTAGTAGAAATATGCCTATTTTAAGGAAATATAAGAGCTCAATAAAGGAAATACAAGAAAAAAGAATATTCTCAATAATAATGTTATAACATACTAATAAATATTAAGCATATAACAAAATATCAATATAATAATTCTATTAACTCTAAAAAGAAGAATACACAACACACACACACACACACACACATATATATATATATATATATGAGAGAGAGAGAGAGAATGAGAGGGGCATATCATCAAACTTTACACATTCTAACAGGGCAACAAGGATGATAAAAAAATTGTATTTGAGTATTATATGAAAGCCCAAAATTTTAATTGTTTTAGTAAGGAATTTGATTCCAAATAAAAACAGATAGCATAAATGAAAATTTCAAAATTTTAAACATGATAGAGAAAGCAATGGATGATTTATCAAATAAGGGTATATGAAATCAAAGAAAACAAGATTCCTACAAAACATTTAATATGTCAACAGTAACACCAAAACAGTAAGTACCACATTGGTGTTCCAATTGAAACTTAAATCGACCATAAGAGTAGGAAAAAGTTAAAAACTTATTTATGAATAAACTTTATTTAGCATGCAACCAAAATTATCATAAAACACCCATGCATCAGTGAGCTACACAAAATATTCAAATGTGTTAGGATTGGTCCAGTTTTAGGCTAGTGTTATTTTGCGAATCAAACCAATGTAAAATCTATATGTAAAGGTTATATCTTCCTTCCCTGCCTCTCAATCCAAGAAGATCCATTCTTCCTCCACAAGATTTTCCAACAAATTGGTATCACAGCTAGGTGGAGGTGGAGGTGGAGGAAGGTTCTCGTCCAAAGAAAGAAAGAAAAGTAGGGTCATGCGGGACGCGCGATCAGATCGGGGTGCGGGTTGCAGGACACCCACGGGCGGGCGGACAAACGCGGGGACGCAGGTTGACGGGCCCAAGGCGCGGGATCAAACTGCGTGCGCGAAGTCGGGGATGGCATCAGGCTCGCTTGCGGGACTCACAATCGTGTGCAGGAGGAGTTGCTGTTTGCGGGTTTATGGATTGAAGCGTAAGGCCGAGCCAGGTGCTTGAGAGGGCCGAAGCCGAAGGTGCCACATGAAGGATTTTTTTATTGTAAAATTTGGACCAAGATGGGGATTGTTAGAGATGGTCCAGTTTTAGGCTAGTGTTATTCTGCGAGACATCACACCAATGTAAAATCTATATATAGAGGTTATTATATGTGATGTATTAGATAAGAAAAATTGAATAAAGCTTTTAAATGGTTTCCTCCTAAAATCTATTCTCCCTCTTTCTCTTTCTTCCTGCCTCTCAATCCAAGAAGAGTCATTCTACCTCCTCAAGATTTCCCAACAAAATGCTAAAAGGAAACCCATTTCTAGATGCAGTCAACTTGAAATTAGAAATGATTTTTTTGCATGAAGACAAGCAACTTGACATATGAAAAACAAATGTTCCCCATACAAAATGCAAACTCTAACCAATGGGGAGTATAACATAGCCCAATAGCTCAATCTCAGCACTCAACCGCCAAATTGAAGGCTAAAACAGTACCTCTCCAGCCTTAACAGCAATAACATGTGGAGTAAATCCAGTTCCTGCCGATCCTGCAAGAAAATTTCTTTCTAAGAGTCATTTCCCAAAAATAAAATATAAGATTATAAATTACATAACAAATACTAATCACATAAAAACTTGTTATGTGCTGACAACAAAAACCAATTTGCAGACAAAAGCATAAAATATTTATAAATCGTTTTCAATTTAATTACAAAAAAAATAAAATTTTCTAGAGCCTCTAAAACCGAACATAATTACAGATAATAGAAACAACACTTAACAGCTAAAACCCAAGCTTTATCCAAACAGTACCGTTATTTTTAACAAAAACTAAAATTAAAGAAGCCAACATATAAGACAATGCTAACCTCACATATATATTTATATAGTGAAATTTTAATAACCACCCCATTTAATTAATAAAACCATACATCATAAGATCTAAAAAGGATAAGACTTGCAATTTAAAAAAAAAAAATTGATAACCAGTCATTTATTGATGCAATCACTATAAAAATTTTTTTTTTACTGACTCAACATATGCCCCAGATAAGATCTACAACAAGACAATGGGCACAAATGTAATTTCATTTATATTCTTCCCTGCACATCACATCCACCCAAAACAACTTCTCTTTTTCACTTTGACGGAGCAATTCTTGACAACTACTTCCCCTCAAAAATTAACCAACCCCTTCCCACCCATCTTTTCCCCCTACATCACTAAAAACCACATAATAATAAAGAAGAAACTAAGAAACTCAGCACATCAAGAATAAAAGAACTATAACAACTAAATTACCAAGTGCAAGCAACTGCTGCTTCTTCCCAGAGCCTGGAGGCCTTCCCTTTGCTTTCTTCATGGGATCACCTGGAACAGAAAGATCGGTGCTTCCATGCCCCATTGAAAGAGGAGAAAAGCCTCCGATGCCTGAAGGAGTTGCCGAAGTAGGGGAAACTGGAGTGAGAGCAAGGGCCATGCTGCCATCAGGGGCATACTTTCTAGGTCGCCCTCGCTTCTTCTTCACCAGCTCACCAGAGGCCATATTTAGTCCATGGATGGCCCCAACAGGTGCCGCCGAGGACCCATCACTTCCAAGGCAGACGGGGGAGCTTCCTCCCGGAAAAGGGGTAGCTGAAACAGAAGAGATCGTCGGGGCGGGCGTAGCGTTAGTGGTGGTAGTAATTGGCTTATAAACAGCAGTGCCATCGTGAGTCATTGTGAGTCGCATGCCCGAAATCGAGGGCTTCGTTGCCACTGGGAAATTCTGCATCCCAATACTGAAAGATTGCTCGGACCTAACTTCCATGGCTGTAATGACAAGTATCTGAATCACATCAACAGTAGTCTGAGCTCAGATAAAGCTAGAACTCCAGGAGAACCAAGTTAGCCACTGCTTCATATAAAAAATCAGAAACTTTTTACTTCGGAAAGAGAAAAGGGAAATTTTGGGAGCTTTTGCAGTAAGTGATCGGACTTACACTATGTTTCAAGAAAGATTAACAGGATCAGAAGAACAGAAGAGTGAAATATTTTGGACTGGAAGGAGCTAAAATCACCGAAACCCTAAACCCTAAAAGAAGTTTACAAGAAAAGCAAAAGTATCAACCCGCAGCTCGAATAGCAGATAATAATTTACAGTAAAAGGGAAAAAATTACGAAAAGTTGAAAGATTACAAAACTGAAAATTTGAAACACTTAAAAGATATACTGATAAAAAAAAGTGAGGTAAAACCTTGAAAAATACACAAACTAGTTCCAAGATCTGCCAAAAAACCAAAGAAAAATCTGACAAAACACAGCAAAATTTCTCCTTTTATCCCGAATTTTGCTGTAAATTTCATAAAATCTGCGAAGACAAAGACCCAAAAAATAAAACCGGAAAAATCGAGAAAAAAGAAAAAAGAATCAAAAAAATGGCAGAAAATAGACCGTAGCGGAGCTCACGAAGCTGAAGGCTTCGATAGGCGTTAAAATGAAAATCGCCGCAATATTCCCTCCCCCTTCCGATTTTTCTTAATTTCGCATAACCCTTTTTATCTGTATATGCCCAAAGGGATTTTTTTTAATCGAAAAAAAAAGCAGGTAAAGCAAACTGAAATTGCTTTCGTACAAAATAATTAAAAAAAAGTGCTTAAATGCTAAATACTCCATCTCTCTTGCCTTTCCCATAATTACTCCTCTATTAACTCTTCTAGTCTTTAGCTCGTAGGAGCCCTATTCTTTTTAGAGATTTACCTTTCATCACCATAACAGGTAAAGTTTAATAGGGATATTAATTGCACAATTGATTGGATTTCTTTCTTCTTTTACGTTTACCGAAAGAAAATTAATTGGAATTAATTAACAGCATGTGATTATGAATTCTGAATAACAAATTAACAATGGAGTGTTCATTAATTGCGCCATGCATTAGTTTTATTATGTTGAATATTGTTTTCTTTGGAGAAAATATTCAAGTCAATCTTTTTTAAAATAAATTTTATTTATATCAATTTTATGGTAATTATATTTATTTTAAAATTAGAAAATTATATTGTTAATCAATTATAATATTTACTATATTCATATCAATATAAATTTAATAATTATTAAAAATTTTAACATCTGATTCGAGTTAAATATTTTGTGTATTTTTCCTTTTTATGTGCACATACATTGTGTTATATTTATCAATTTATTTGAAAAAAAAAGACAAAAAGTCATAAATTCAAGAAAAAATATCATAAATTATTTTAGATGAACAAATTTTATTTTAACCAATTAAAAAAAACAATCCAAGGGTGGAACCATGAAGAGCTCAGGGTGGATCATTTGAAATCTTTTTTTTTATTAGAAAAACAAATATTTTAACTATTTTGTTCAGCTTCAATAAATGCAATTGTCCAAATTTTATGAAAGAAATTTTTTATTCTATTTGTTTTTATTTCATACATAAAATTAGACATTTCGCAATCTTATTATGTCCGCTTCAAATGAGATGCATAGAGGGCTGGCACCTATATTTATAATCATATAAAATTTGAATTACCCATAAACTTCAAATGAGATTTATAGAGAGAGTATGTCAAAAAATGTTGAAAATAAGAAGAGAAAAAAACCCCTAAACATTACTCATATTAATGATTGAGTGCAAATATAATCACTTGTTATAGAAATGATTGTTGGATATGAAGAAAAAGTCAAAGTATTATTGTAGGTACTCTTTTCACATCATTATTATAGGGACTCAAATGAGAGCTTCTCCATGGCATGATTGGGAGCTTCTCATTTTGCTAGAATAAAAAATGCCCACGCCTATTCCTCCTTGAAGAAGCTAAATAAGTTCCTCTTCAAGCTTCTAAAAACTCCATTTCTTTATTCAATGGCAAATCTTCCCCCCTTCTTCCTCTTCCTTGAATTTATTTCTATTTATTTATTTTGAGATGTCAAACCCCTCATTCTATTTCTCTACTTATAGTGGTAACAAGACATTTATTTGAAGACAACTAAAAATTTACAAAATCTCTTGAAGTGGATAAAAAAGCTTTAATCATATATTCAAAAATATAAATATAATATTTGCACTAATAGGGGATCTAAATCATATAATGTAAATATTAAATAGAATAAAACCTTCATAATTTTAGTAACCTCTCACTTAAGATATATTTTTTTAATATATATGTAGTGTTCAGGATTCAAGTACATCTCCATAAGACACCTCAAAAAAATCATTCACGGAGATTGAATAAGATTTTGTAAAATCTTAATTTTTTTGTTGACATAAATCTTGTGAGCATATCACTGAGGCTTCATATCTACATCTTAATGAACAAGAGGGCATTAGCTTCAATCAACTAATGCATATAGTTAGACTTGAGTTGGTATATATCCAAGGGTGGCAATTTGGTTCTTATAGAAGAGAGTACCATCTTTTCTTATGACTTGTCTAGCTCTTCCAAAAATTTTGAGAGTAAATTATATCCTTATTAGCTTTAACAATAACTAATATTCAACTTTTTTAGTTAATATAGTTGAAGCATAAAGGACTTTGATTGGATATTTCTTCTCATCTATAATTTTTAATATTTATTTTTTAGATAATTTGAAGTAGTTAGTTACGCAACAAAAACGCATGACCATCACCATTATTAGTATAAAACATCAAGATTCTAGATATATCATTATCTTCATCACAATAAAATTTCAAAAAAAAAATATTGATCATGTCGAGGTTTGCTCTTAAAAATGAAGCAAGTGTATAAATTTAGGAACATTCCAATTACCCTACAAGCTTAGTTATTGGCGAATAATTTAAGCAAGAAATAAGAGAGAGAAAATGATCTAAATCTCCTCCAAAAGCATTTGGTCAACTAGACCTCACAAGTAATTGGATATTTGATTGCAATTAACAGTACCACTTCTTATATTTTATGGATGTCATGACATTTTCATACAATGACTTGATGTGTTTTGTATTATTTTATATACAACTAGCTATTGTATTATATTTTGCTTCAGTTGTCTCTTCCCGTAGATGCAGGACTTCTCGATCGAAAAAATCGTAGGTTTGCAGAACTTCATTTATGTTGCATTCTCTTCGTTCGCGTGTTGCCCTACTCCGTCTCAGTTGTCTCTATTTGTAAAATTTTATTATGCTTATTTTGATGTCGTCGATTCTGCTTCAATCGGCTTATTTTTTCTTTTTCTTGGATTGAATGTATTCCCCTCCCATGTTCTCAGAACTCTGTCATTATCACCGTAATTTCAAGTTTTGAACTGGTGCGTTAAACTTTGCTTTAGACATTTTTTTTTCTAAATGGATAAATAATTTGGATTAAGTATGCTCGTCTATTTGATTTTAAAATACTTGAATGTGCTAAATATAAATTAGTTGGTTACACTCAATCGTTATGGCAAAGCATTGCAAGTGAACTAAAACCTACATAGCCAGGCCTAAAACATAAGCTAAACGAATCATATTTCTCAATTATTGAGTACAAATACAATGGATGAGCAATTTAAGCATTGTATGGAAGATTAATATGATTTGTATAAATATTATGATAGTTTTATGTGTCATGCAACTAAAAATCATTCGTCTATAGATTATTTTGTAACAATTAAATGTTAATATGTTTCATTAAAGGTCTAAGAAGAAAGATTATCATTGAAATAAACTATAATTCACCAAAATCTATTTAAGGCATTAATTAGATCGTTAACTGTTGGGGCATTTTATAATTTTATAAAGACTCGCATTTAAATTTATAGTCCTAACGAAAAATCATTACTTTCTTCCATAAAAAATGGTCCAACATCAAAGGCAGTAGACAGATCACCAAAGTCAACACATTAATGGAATTTTATGCACAAAGCGACAAAAAAAAAATTTAAATTAAATGAAGTCAAATTTGATCCAACGAATTTAGTCAACTTTAATAGGGAGTGCCTTCATAAAAAACTTCAACTTATAGAGTTAAGTTTATACTGATAAACAACTTCAACTTATAGAGTTAAGTTTTCAAAAGGTTTTTTTCTTGGCAAAAAAATTGGCCCAGAACACTCTGATAAGAGCTTTGATTAGTGGGGATTTCAAAATCATTATGAATTGAAATTAGAATTAAGCGATATGATATTTCTAGACAGATTTTGTTGTTTGTGAATGAGACTAATGGATAGTAACAATCTAAAGAAAATAAAATGTTGATGACTGTTACTGTTATAGCAATTCTATTATAAACATTTGTTGCACTGTTATTGTTATAAATTTATAATGTTATAAAGTATCTTCCTACTCCAAAAGGTCATGCTGTTTAGGGGTAAATCTAGAATAGTTATCAAATATTTTGGAAAACTCACTTAATGCTTCTTATCAACCTTTCTTTGTGACCAACTATGATGTAGATACTTGATTTTAATTCTCTCTACTTGCACCTTAAACTCAATATTTAGAGTGGCTCAATAAAACAGTCAACTTGCGCCATCAAACTCACAGTGTACGGAAGAAGGTAGATATTGCAAGAATCATTTTGCTGAGTTTAAAGCTGTTGATTGTAGGAAGTAATACAAATGTCTAAATTGTAGAACTACTTATAATGATGAAGATATTAATAGGATGAAGCAACGCCTGACAGGAATTATATGTAACATTGACTCTTGTAAGAAAGTGATACATGAGATCTGTCATCAATGACAACATAATTTGAATGAGATAACAAATAGAAAATAATAAGCACAAGAGAATTTATCACATAGTGTTGATTTGTCTATAAATGACCAATAGAAGAAGAGATAGGTTCATCTTCATTTGCAAAATCACAAAGTTCTGATACACATGATAAAGAGATTGAGAAATGAAAAAAGAAAATTAATAAAATAGATAACTTTTTTGCACCTAGAATAAAATCAGGATCTCAACCATCCCTAAAAAGTGTAATGGAATCTAAAGATGCAGTACACTGAGATGATTTAATAGTTGCTATGTGGTTTTATGACAGTTGCATTCCCTTCAATGCTATCAATTCATCTTTTGCACAAAGAGTTGTTGATGCAATTGATGCAATAGGACTTAGTTACAAATTATATTCTTATTATAGATTGAGAGTAAATTTGTTACGAGATTGTAAAATGGAATACAAGTTATTAAATGAATCTTATAGAAAAAAATGGAAAGAAATTGGTTCTACATTGATGGCTGATGGTTAGACAGATGTAAGGATTAGGACATTGATAAAATTTCTTATGTATTGTCCATGTGGAGTTTTACTTCTAAAATCAGTAAATACATGATCTGATGTCGTCAAATATACCACATTATTATGTTCACAGTTCACTAATGTTTAGAATGAGTTGGTTCAAAAAATATTGTTAATTTTGTGACAGATAATACTACAAATTATAAGAAAGCTGGTGAGTTATTGTTTCAAAATTTTGAAAATATATATTAGTTACTTTGTGCTGCACATTTCAAAAATCTAATTTTGAGATAATCAGTTAAGACAAGGAATATATTCAGCAGCTTATTTTCTTAACCCTCATTTTAAATATGATTATAAAAATTATTTCAGCAAGCCTGAAGACTGAAGTAATAC